ATATCACAAGTTTATAATAATATAATCATAAATATATTAATTACAAATTCAATATTTTAAATTTATTTTTATAGCTACATTCAATTAATTATATTTTAATTTATCTCGATTTATAAAACAATGGATAGAAGCAATTTATTTTTACACAATATAAAAAATTGCCGCAATAAAATAAACTATAATATGAGATATATATATATCATTTCATGTATAAATGATATATATTAGTTTTCCTTTAACTTTTAACAATAAATAAGAAACTATCTATGTATGTAGATAAATACACACGTAGATAATATTAATGCAAACTGTCAGGAATGACAAATTTACAATAATCACAAATATATTAGTTATCTTTTAGATTTATTTTTATAACTCTCCTTCTCTTCTTCTCTCTTTTTCTTCTTTCTCTCTTTCTACATTTAATTAATTTATATTTTAATTTGTTCTGAATTTATAAAATGATAAATGGGAACAATTTATTTTTATGTAATATAAAAAGTTACCTTGTTAATATAAAAAAGTATCATTTTATAAGGGAAATATTATATATATATGCATATATATATATAATTTACGTATATTAAATCTCTTTTTTTTATAAATGAAAAGATGGTATTTATGATTAGATAAATATAGATACATAGATGATTATATCACAAACTATTAGAAGTACAAAGAATTTAATTCTATTTTTGTTGGTAGATATCGATATACATCAATAATGTCATAAGTATAATTAATTAATTATAATCTGGAGATGTATATATTATACTTTTCTACTCCGTAAAAAATGATTGCTATAAGATATATTGTCAACAAAGAAGTAAACCCCGAAGTAAACATTCCAGAATATGATAGACATTTTAGTAAAAAATTCTTGTCGTCAATCATATTATTTTAAAATAGCACGACTCACCTATCGACGAAATCCTAAGTATGCGGAATTCGCAATGCTACCATAATTTCGTCAACATTCCGCCAGGATGAATGACACAATTCCGCTAAGTTATGCAGAGTCTGCAAAAACAATTTTTCAAATAAACTATTATTTTAGCGTAGTCGTAAGACCGTAAACAAATCAATCAATCACAATCGAGCGTTTTAAAACGTGAGATCGCAATTTTTATTGTGATTGGTCGATTTGCTTGAGACTTTACAATTACGACTAAAAATTTTGTACGTGTAATGGCCTTTAGCGTCGTGCGTTTCTTTAACTTTAAATAAATAAAACAGGCTAGAGATGACGATTCATGATATGAAGCGATGGGATAACTATTGACATCGTGAAACCTCTGAGAAAATAACTTTCCGAGGGTAGTAGGTTTCAAAAAAAGACCTCGCAATTTATATTTGTACGCGTGGAGAGAAAATCCTCGTTCCCTCGAGCTACACGTATCCTACGTACCTAAATCCAATCCGGATGCAAATCCACGGCAAAACACGGGTGACGAAATCCCGATACTTATTAAGATCATTTGATCTACGCTACATCGCAAATCGTACACATTCGACTGTCGAACTCGCTAAACGAATTTTATTCGAGAATCCAGAGTTCCCATTTTTTCCGCGAGGAGCGCCACAAAAAGCGAGCGACTTCAGGCGCGACCGATGCATTGCAGCACGTGCAGTTATTTACATTATCGACACACCGTATCATCTCTCGATAAATATGTTACAGTCGCTAATGTGAATAACTACACATTTTCAAAAGAATTATACATAGGTCGTCTGAAAAGTTTTGAGCCTCAACATGAAGATGGCATTACTCGTCAAAACAATTTTGATACTATAATCGTACATATTTTGAAAGATACCTGCGAAAATTGTAGCTACTTCCGGCGCTTAGTTGTTGTTTGACAGTCATTTGTGCCAGTCAATGTTAATGTTTTTGTAAAAATGGAAAAAATCGAATATCAGCAGTCGCCATGATAAAAATTCACGAATTGCGGTTCGAATTAATTAACCATCCACCGTATTCATCAGATCTGGCCCCCAGCGACTTTTTTCTGTTTCCTAGGCTCAAAGTTTGGCTCGGAGAACAGAAATTTTCATCGAACGAGGTCATCGCATCCGTAGACGCATATTTTGCAAAGCGAGACGCTCAGTATTATTTGAATGGATTAAAGGGGTGGGAGCATCGCTGGAAAAAATGTATCGACTTAAAAGGAGACTATGTGGAAAAATAAAATTGAATTTGACCGAAAAATTATTTGTTTCTACGTTAGGCTCAAAACTTTTCAGACGACCCTCGTATATATTATATACCCGGAGAATTATTATTATTCCTACGTTACCGATTATCGCTTGCTTAAACATTCCAGCGACATTTCGATAAATATTATTGAGATTATTCTCTCAAACAATAAGTTTGTTTTTTATTGCTGCACTCTCTGAACTGGTGCACACGGTGCAAACGTATATTTGTTTCACTTCAACTTATTGCACCGTGTGCACCAAGTTCAGAGATAAAAAAAGTACAGCGATAAAAAAACAAAGGTATTACAAGAGATAAAAGAAATGAAAGAAGAAAAATAAAAATTTATTTCTACACTAAATATTATTTCGCATTAAATATTTTCAACAAAAAATTATTTCTTGCTGTCGAAAAAGTATTCTTTTGCCTGCATGCACGTGTAATTGTTTCAGCTTAAAACTATATATAAAATTATGAATATTACGAAATAAATATTATCAACAATGAAAACATTTGTAGCTATATAGATACGTATAGCTATATACAATCGTATTATCGTGAATGACAATCGGACGAGCACATGAGCGTAATTGCGTGAATAGAAACAAACTTCAAATGTTTGCCTCATAGTTCGTGTGTCACTATCTATACATATATGTGGCAAACGGAATGTAAATTATACTGAGGAAATTGTATGTCGCACTCGAAGAAAGATATGTTTAAAAAAAGAAAATACACGTGGCATATTATATTTATTAGTCTTTCATGGTCGCACATTGCGAATGTGTACGTATAGATGAGAGAATCATAAAAACTGGTATCTTTTTATTTATAGCTGCAGCGTGCTGAAATAATATACGGAAGACAAAAAGTTGCAGTTTCATTTGTGTGATTATCGAAGATTTCTTTATTTCAATACGTGCATTATCATGACACAATCAAATCTGTGCGTAACATAAACATGATGGATCTGAGAGTATGGACTTAAAATGTAGGTATCTTAAGTCTGCACGGAAAGAAAGGCTTCACTAATCGCTAAAATATCTAAAAACTTAGCTGGATACAGATCTGAAAATAATTTTGTTCGGTCATCAAAATAATCGTGATGTAGAACGTAGAAACTGAAACTGTTTACTAATTCACTTAAATTTTTTTGCAGTATCGCTCGTCATGCTTGAAATTCTTATGTAATAACTTTGATAATTCAACAAAATTATTCTCAGATTTGTATCTAATTAAATTTTTAGATACTTTATCAAAAAATATGTCAAACATATCTCATTATTTCTTAACGTGAGACTTTAAGGAAACATAGTAGAGCTTAAAGAAAAAAAAACAAGTTGCACGGTAAATTATTTCGTTGCTATCGTTATTGACGCGTTAAAAACATCGTTTTTTTTGTGAATAGTATATTTTTAACTTAATAGGAAGTTTTTGCAATAACCAAATATACGGTGAACGCTAAAGTAATGTTATCCTTTTCTCAATTAATTGTTAAGAAGAATATAACCTGACTTTAGCGTTCACTATATATTTGGATAAACAGTATTGCAAAAACTCCCCAATATTTTTAAATGTTACACCCAACACTACAGCTACCGTTTCACGGCAACGGCCGACCTTCCTTTAATCTCGAACCTTGCTCTTTATTCTGACTGATGAGACAATATATGTAGAGACACGTATAATGCGTGATCGTGTATGACGTATATTTTAAATATATACACATTTCTTTCGTCACGCAAGAATATCGATTTATTATTAACGCCCTCCACGTCAACGTAATTAAAGCTCGTCTAATCTTAAGCCTAATCTTTTGTCTGCGAAGCTAATTTTCCCAGAGTATCTCTTTTCCCAGCTATGTATTTGTCGAGAACGCAGTAAACAACAGATATTCCGAGGGGAGGGGAGAGACAAAGAAAAGGCGATATAAAGACAGAGAAATAGATAAATGCCTATTATATATATATAGTCATTGTATATATGTCATTATATATTTTTCGTATCCAACTTTTCTCTGAGAACATCCGAAAAAATGATTCATCCATCGCTCTCTGCCCTCCCCGCCTCTCGACTAAATTTATCAAGCGGGTTGGGCGAGCAGCGGCGATGGCGGTGCCGGCTCTAAATTTGACAATCATCCGAACGACAGCTGTTGCGTCGACGCTGCACACACCGATCAGCTGTTGCGGCGTGCGCGCGCGCGCACGTGCAACATAGGGACTTTCACGGGAACGCAGCCGCGCATGCGCGTGCCAACCTGAGGCGCGATAATTCGAAGGATCGTGGCAATGCTCGAAAACTTTACATCGAAAACGCCAATTTGAAACCCTGAAATCGCTCGCTTTTGAACTCTGGGTGGAGGAAGAGGAGAACGCACGAATCTCTCGTCGTGACGAGATGCCGCCGTGAACACCGGTGATCGTGCGATGTTTCATTGAAGAGCCCGTCAGAGAACGATCTCAGGGGCTTTGTAATTCTATCCGCATTGCGCGAAGTGACTTTCATTTAAGCGAGCTCTTAGTTTCCGTCTTGTGGACGTTGTGGGAAGCGAAACTCGGTGGCAACGCGAGCGCGGAGCGAGCAAGGGAGAGACAGACGAGAGAGAGAGAGAAAGAGAGAGAGAAAAGAGAGGGACGGAGAGTGAGCGAATGGACGTCATGCTGTATGTATCCTATAATCCTACGAGAATTTTCTCTCACGTGGGCCGAGTGCAACCCGTGTGTCAAGCGTGCGCGTCGGTGGAAGCGAGACGGAAGGTAGAGGGGCAGCGCGTTCGCGCAAGGCGCGAGGAGGACGGAAGAGGCGAGCGGAGGTGGAAGGCGTGCGAGCGAGTTGAGCGGCTTGAAGTTGGAGCGGCTCGAAACAAGTCGGGAACGCCAGTTGACGGCAGTGTTGAACGGGCCTTTATCTGTGCCTCGCCGTGCCTGTATCATGCGCCGCTGAGTGAATTGTCAAGTGAAAATCAGCAATGGCTGCCAACGAGCAACAGCGTAAGGTGAGCGAGCGCCGCTCGGGGATGGCCACGAATTTTTTTTCCACCGGCCGGAAACGACACGGCCGGGCGCCGTGCGGTTCGCGCACCCGTCGATCCCACGGGATGTAACGTCGTTCGTGCGCGGCGCGTCGCGTCGCTTTTGTGTCAAAAGTCACGGATTCGATCCGCCTCTCTTTTTCTCTTTCGAGACCGCACTCGTAGTCGACGGAACGTCGTCGTTCGGTCGCTGCGCGATATCGACGGCCCGATGGGACGGACGTGGTGACGGAGGACGGAAACGACGTTGCCGTGATTCATCACGTCGACGAGGAACGGCGCGACGATCCCCGGGATAAGCGTCCCCCGCGCGCGCCGCATTCCCGAATAATCGCACGTCTTCATTCAAAGATCGCGCAGTCGGTCGCCGTATTTACATCGGTCAGCCGAGCAGCTGTCAATCGTACGGAGACGAATGGTGCGACGTTCGCGACCGCGTCCCAAGATGTTCGACGAGGATCACGACGGTGACGTGAGTACCCCGCGTTTCGCTGTCCGATAAGTCGAAAAAGACGAGACGATCGAGACTCGACCGCGCTGCGCGTTTCTTGTTTTCTTATCCGTGCGAACAGGGGGGATACCCTTGCGAACCTTTGCCGACACCGCTGACGGTGCAATTGAGTGCAATCGAAGCGCAGCGTACTACGGCCACAATAGAATCGTGTTCGAGCTACGTTGAACGTGTGACAGCTCGAGCCGCACGAATTCCCGTCGAACGAGTTTCGTCCGTCCTCTTTCCTTTTTTTCTTTCCGTCTTTTCGCCGCCCCGCAGGAATTCCTCGTGGACTCTCGTGCGAGAAATCTGGCACGAGAAAAAGACGAGCTTTTTTTTTTTTTCGGGATGGTCGCGTTGCGATTTTGTTTGACGCGAGTACAACATATGCGACTGTTCTCTTCGGCGAGAAACGTTGCGAGATCGACGATCAATATTGAGACAAAAGAGAGAAAGAGAAAGAAACGGCCTTGCTGCGTTGAGAAATCTCGCAGCGAGGGCCTGCGATTCACTTTCCGTCCGCTAAGAAACTCCGTTCTCGCCCCGCGGAAGTCCCGTTTGATCGTCGGGAACCTCGCCTCGTTTATGTCACGCGTTTTGCGCGACTTATCCCGTCGATAAACGCCTCTTTCCAACTTGTTTGCGGCCGCGAGCCGGAATCGATCCGCCGTGTTTTGAGCCGAGCGTTAATTACCGTACGCTACATCATCGACGTACGGAACGCTTCGTTGTGCTCTCTGTCACGAACGTCATGTGTCATCGTGGATAAGCGCGACGGCGCACGGGCATGATTTGCACGAGAAGGAGGCTCGCGTTCGGCCATCGCTTCCGATCGCGGACGATAAACTGGGCAGACCGAGGATCGCCCGTCCGCTCATTCGTGTTTCCATTCACACGGCCGTCGCTCTCCCGCATTGTTGAGACATATGTTGCAATTGTGCACGAATAATCTATTTTATGTGCACACAGAACTTTGCTTTTTCTACGCTCCGCGCAGCGTATTTTCTCGTTTATTTTCGACCGATTACGAGGGATCGAATATAATTCTATAGATCCCCGATCGCCTTTCCTTTTCTTTTTTTTTTTCCTCTTGCTCGAGTCGATCAGGCTAAATTGGTGGTTAGATAGATGTGGATCAATGTCGGGCGCAAAAGTTTAAGCGGCAGGAAATGCGACTCGAGATATACTGACAAGCTGTGTCACTTTAAGGCTGTGTCACATTAAGGCTTCACCAACACAGCAACATGGCTACTTATGGCTATGATGCAAAACTTGATGATACACATCGTAGATATTTCCTAATGCAGGGAGTGGGAACGGCGCATTTTTGTTGTTTGTCTGGACTTGTCAAACGTGTTGACTAGAATATCCTGGTTTAATCGTGCAAATAATATATTAAGAATATTGGAAGTCACACTGGGGTCAATACAGATTTAGAATATGTTATATATGACATAAATATTTTATTGTAACTAGAGATGAACAAAAATGAATCGAGAATGTATGAAGACTGATATTTTGTTTTAATAATTGTTACTAAAAATAAGCAGTATTTATTTTTTCAGTGATCTTTATTCTTTCTCCTTTCCTTTTTTCTCTTTTTGAATAACATATATGAATTATATAAAAGAATAAATTTTATTTAAAAAGCTATTGTGGAATATATACGCACAATCTATGAGTTAAATATTCCTCATAATATTCCTACGTTCATTACAATGTTTATTCAGACAAACTGGGGATCGATTCTGTATTTTAAAACGAAGTGAAAATTACAAAAGTGAGCGAGTGTACTAGAATATTCATAATTTCATTAATCAACATCTAGTAAATTTGCTTACTTTTTAAATTTTCGCCTGGTTTCAAGATACAGAATCGAGCCTCAGGATATATGTTTATAAATCACATCTATTTAAATAAAAAAAATCACACGAATTTATTGTATAGTCTTTATTATATGTTTGTAATATTTTGTGTGTGTGTGTATACATGTGTACATAAATGGTGTATGTATGTATTAGGGGAAGGACTATTACTTAGTTATTATGCTTTATATATTTAATTATATTATAACGACATAGTTTATTATAAATGAGTAGGAATCACGTGAAGCCAGGGAGCCAGCCCATCATGCAAGACGTCCCATGAATGCATTTCTAATTTTTTGCAAGAGGCATCGTGGCTCAGTGCGATCTGGTTTTCCACACTTGGAAAATAGGGCAGTTACCAGGGTCTTGGGTGAATGGTGGGCAACCCTTCATCCCGATCAGAAGCGTTCCTACACAAATCTTGCACAGGAAGTAAGGATAATCAAATGAAAAATTAATGAGTTGCTTAATTTGTAGAATAATGTAAATTTGTAGTGTCAAAAATAAAATTAATTTGTTGAACTATTATTAGATCTGTATCAGGATATAGATACCACGTAGCATAATTTTTTTCAGTACAAGGATGCTTTTCTAAATGCAAATCCTGACTTTAAGTGGTACAAATTACCAGCACCTCCGCTACGTACTTTAAATACTAGGCCTACCAACAAGAAGCAGGAGTCAAGTAGCGGTGTGCAATCCACAGATAGTGTCAAATCTGAATATGAGTCTTCCGATTGTACAAAGTCAGACAGACGAGACGGACAATCAATTCAACCAGGCAAATTAGCAGATGAATCGCAGATTGGAGGGCTTAGTTCTCTCTTCACGCCTCAAAAATCAGAGACGTCTGAGGAGATCGTTAATGGTATTGTAGAAAATGATCCTGTTCCACCGAAACCACCCAAAAAGAGGTATACAGAATCACCTTTCCAAGATGATCAAAAAAGAGACTGTAAGACAGATCTATTTGGCGAAAAGAAAAGAAAAAGAACTGAATCTAATAATAACGAACAGCACGAAACGGTAAGAATCGATCTACTTATAAAAATATAAATTTATGAAACGTTACACAATACATATTATTTATTATTATATTATTTGTTGATGCCTGTATAATACCTATATGTAACCAATTAAAAATTTATTTTAGATCATAGAAGATGAGAAACATACAATAAATTCCTTTGTAACAGCACATACACAACCAGAGGAAAATTTTCGTAGTGAAAGAACATGTAAAGGTTTACGTTATCAGAAATTCCTTGCTGAGCAAAACATCGGTCCCTCAGGCCAACAGAATAAACGAAGACGGACAGTTGGAAGTCATGGGTAGATGATTAAAACTTTTATCTTGGAATATTGTGAAATATCTAATTTTGTCTATAATTGTTATCTGTAATGTTAAAAAATATTTATTTTTGTTGTTCTAGTCATGATGAACGTCCAAATGAAAGAAGAAACTCTATTTCTTCAAATGTTAGTGAAAAAACAGATTCCTTAAGCAGTGAAGGAGGAAATAGTTCTCGTGGAGATTTAGAACATCTTGTAGAGAGGTAACATATGTAATCCTATTTTTTATTTTTTAGCACACATGTATTGATTTTTTATATATAGAAATAATTCGAAAATTGTTTAGTGCTGAAGGAAAAATGGAAGCTTCTAAACCTGAGGATACGGAAACTGAAGGAGCCGAAGATCAAGTAGATTATGGACCTTGGACTGCACGTAAAAGATTTCGAGCAGAGTATGTTCTTTAGAATCATTCTCAGATAAATAATATACATATATTTTTTATCTTATTGTATTTTGAATTAGAGTACTATGACTGCGTTCTAGAAGCATGTTTTCAATGTTAATACGTCATTCTATCTTTATCATTCATTAGACTCAAAACAAGAATAGAATGCGCTGATAGCGTTGAAAGTGCGCTCCTGGAACATAGCCTATGTCTAATATATTATAATTTATACTATATTATAATAAATATTTGTATAGAAAATTTAATTTGGAAAAGAAAATCGAGGCATTACCGTCTTTAAGTTTAGAGGAATTTCAAGAAAAGAAAAAACAGCAACGTACGAAAAAAAAGAAAATTTTGCAAAAGTTTAATCCTTCAGCAAACAAAAAACATCAAAATAATTCGTCCTCTGATGGTCAGACTCAAAGAATTAGTACAATAAAAGAGAGTTATGAGGAATCGGAGAAAGCTCATCTTGTTGGAAGCCAGAAACGGAAAGCACGAAAGCAAAGCATTACGCGAAATGCTGCGGCAATCAACTCCACCAAACACGCTGAAGATCAAGAGCAAAACAAATGTAAGTTACAAGTTTTCTTAATAAGCTAATTGAACATGTCATACATATTATTATATTCTTTTATTTATATTTATTTATTTATACTGATGTTGTAATTTTATCACAGAAGAAAGTACGCAAAATATTTTTCTTATTCTTTAAAATTATTAAAATATACTGCAGATAAAAATTTTATTACAATTTAATTTTATATATAATTTATATAATTGTTTTTAAATTTTGTCGTTAAAAAATTCTATATTAAAATAATTAGAATAGTTTAATGCTTTATTATGTCAATTTGTACGAGATATAAGCTTTAATTAACGTTTTGCATATTACCAGCTTGGTGTGCATCTCCAGATCTGGAAGCTCTAGCGTGTCTTGCAACGGTTGCCGCCAATAGAACAAAACTTACCAAAAATAACGCTTAAGGTCACACTATAAAAACCAAAACTTTATTAAGTTTTCTCTCGATGCAATTTCTTATTACCAGGACTATTAAGACATACTTTTTCAAGTGCTGTTATAAACGATACTGTTATGGTATCGATAACATAATGATTATTGTTAATCTTTATTGTTAATCTTTACTCTATTACAAATATTAATATTACGACTGCTATTGACTATAGATTATTCCATTATTCAGTATATTGAGGGTCGTGTTCTTTTTATTTAAAATAATAATTTTATCAAAAAGGAAGGTAAAGGATGTCATTTTTTAGTTTATTATGTGAAAAGTCATTTTTTAATTACGGAAAACCGTATTTACTTTATTTATCTTTCTGCTAGTTGTATGTATATAATACAGTTAAGTTAACTAGTATAATTAATCATTTTAATAGTAAGTATTTTATGATGTGTTATTAAGTTTGATAATTAAGATAATATTCTTAATTATCTATGCCTTCTCTAATCCAAATCTTCATGCGAATTCTATGAATCATATTAATGCCACAACAATAAATCTGATTGAATAATGCGAAGCTGTGACGCCTATGACTATACGAAGATGGAATTAAATGAATAGAACGGGATGTAAAAATGCAAGGAAGGAATTTGTACATTATTCTATTTTTTTACAGAAAATTTATATGTATCTTATTTTCTTAACGTGTTGCCTTTTTTTATACAAAGTCGCATACGCAAATTAGCATGATTGCAGTGATTCCATTAGGCGCAAAGTGTAACACTCGAGAAGAACTTATTTTCGTTATCATTTCCGATAATGTATAGAAGCGAAAACATATTTTAATTTACTTTTTATTATATTCTACCCGCATTCAATGTACATAGGTATAGGTGCAGTATTATATATGGATACGAGATGTGGAATATCCTTTACGATATGAACTTGAACATCAAAAAGGGTATAATCAAAATATGGATATATGTGCGACCACTATTTACATGTTATACATGCATACACGATAATATACACGCGCTTACACGTATAAGTTTAAATGTTTATAGATTTTCAGGTATATACACGAGTGCATGTTAGATAATTATCTCTATGTATTGAAATACGCGTGTATTCGTGTATGCATGTAATAGAGTCATAAGACTACCTGAATATGTGAATGTATATTTATAATATTTATATCAGCTATATATCTTATTATATATACATATATGTACATTTAGCGTTAAGACCAGAGAATGCGACTTTGTGCTCTGTTTGAGAAAGTAAGAGACTTGTCTGTGATTTCGGCTAAAAAAGAGTTTTTAATATTTTGTATTTTTCTAATGATTCTTTTTTTTTCTTTTTTCTCCTTTTCTCTCATTCTCTTTTTCTCTCTAATATAAATAAAATTATATTTTTTCTCTTTCTATATATATATATATATGTATATAAAACTCTAATTTTATTAATGATGTAATTTTGTGAACTCTTTGTGAAATGGTAAGAAGAATGTAACGTTAATAGGTTTCTCCGTAGTTGCAAAAGGGTGTACTGATTATATTTCAAATGTGCCTTGAAGAAAAATGAATATAGTGATTAAATAACCGACCAACAATATATTTTCGATTCGTTTCGCTCTTCTGACCGCATTTTGACTTTTACATTTGTACCTATCGCAGTATGAAACTATCTTGCTGCAGGACTTTACAAGGGCTTAGTTGCCAATATATAAAGATCGGATATTTAAACGAAATCAGGGGAGAATGTTTCGAATTTTACTGCACAAAACATCTATGTACCTAGCTTTAAAAATGTATAATTTACATGAGTCTATATATACGTGTACATATTATATACCACATTTATATATGATTAATAAAGATATGATATTTTGATGTAATACTTATTTGTAGTTATTTAGAATATTTATGATAAATATAAATAAACATTCTAATAAGTATTTTTTACTTGGATTATATCTTATATAAAATAAATCTTATAAATATTTATATATAAATATTTTGTAAATATTTTTTATAAATATTGTGTGCTGTCTGGCGAGGGTCTTTAGCTCGTTTTTGCTAAATTAAATCTTAATTCAACGATATGTAATTGAAAAGTTTGAAGTGTATTCAAAGAAATCCTCATGTCCTCTCTCTCAGATTTCTCTCTGGTTCTTATTTTAAGACCATTTTAAGTAATGTCCTAAGACGCTAATACGGCTTTCTGATTGGATCATGACATTTTCCCCAGCTAACGCTAAATATTCACAGAAAGTTCGATTCGTATTATCAATGTGCTGAATGTTCCGGAGCAGTAAAAGAATCGTTATAGAAATGTACAAATGTCGATGAAATGTTTAAAATATTGTGTGAATACTTTTTGTATATTTCACGAAAATCATTAGCGAGCGAGTAGTACACATCTCCACCGACAGAGGGCCGTGGCGACGAGCATTTACTCGTAAACAAGAATCATCTGGAAGAGAATATAAGGAGCGCAGTACTCCGTCTGTGAAGTGAGTCCCAAAATTAGGCTCAAAAGTGAAAACATATTAAGGCCCGTATTCATAGTTAGCATTTAAGGCTTCCTTAAGTTTATCTTTAGATGCTCTACGAATTATTTCATTGGCTACTGCATCTAAAGATAAATTTAAGATAGCCTTAAGTATAAGATCTGATTATGAATACGGGCATAAATGTGTTTTCCAAAGTAAAATTTTGTTTGAAAACTGGTTCATGAACGAACCTGACCTGGGTATCTATCGTGGAACAAAGTCGGAATGGATTCCGATCGGAATTATTCCGTTCTCCCCAGAAAACACAATAAAAATCTAGGGAATAATTGAATAATTCCGATCGGAATCCATTCCGACTTTGTTCCATGATATAGGTACCCTGGAATTTTTGAATTTTGAGGAATATATATGGAACATTCTCGGAATATATAACGATATACAAATGAAATTTTGAACTGATATTTGAATGTTTCTTTTACATACTGTAAATATTCGGAATATTTTGGAATATTCTTGGAATGTTTTTTTGGGTTTTTAGGAATATTTTATGAATATTTCAAGAATATTTAATGTTTGCTGAGTTAAGACTGTACTTAAGACGATCTTAAACATAAGATCTGACTATATAAATACAGGCACAGAGAAAGCTGAATATTAATTTAATAGGTTTTAGTTATTTCAGCGATTATTTCCATCAGGAGCACTCGGAGCACCGCAAAAAAATGGATATTGTGTAGTTTACATCCACTTTTTCAGAGGGCAGTAGTGCGCGGCGGCATTTTACAAGAAGAAAACGCCCTCCACGTCCTCTCTCGGATTTCTCTGTTTTTATCGCTCGTTATCTCGCGTTGGAAGTTCCGTCTCTATACATATTTCGATGATCCACGGCGAATATTATACAAACATTTCTCCCACTCCAGCTCTACTGTTGGTATACACTGGCAGCACACGTCAGTGACGTCACGCATACGCAACCAATACAAACGACAAAGAGAGATCGGTTGGATCAAGTTGGACCAGTATGGCAGCATTGACAGTTGTATAATTTTCGTTTTTCTACGACATATCGATTCGCCAGATAAATAAACGTTGCCCGATCGCGGATCGGTCACAGTCAGATCGTTGCAGGTCGTTCCATCAACTGCTTCTCGAAATGGGAGTGATATTCCTCGAACATATCGGTGGCAGTCGCCTGTTCTCTTGCGCTTCCTGCGATACCAATCTCACCAATAGGTCACAGCTCGTGAGCACACGTTTCACGGGTGCCACGGGACGTGCGTTCCTCTTCAGCAAAGTCGTCAACCTGAACTATAGGTGCGCCCTTTCATTTGTTGTACAAGGTCACTAGTATAAAACGATTTTTCTCGAATGATTTGTGCTTTTGTAATCAAGCTTTCAAGCTCAAGATCTACCGTTATGAAATCTTTGTTAGATTGCATTCTTTTCGACTATTGGCTACGTTTACACCGTGCATTTAGGCCGTGGCCTATACAATAGATGTCTGTTTATCCTGTATGTTAAACAAAGACACCTATCGTATAGGTCTCGACTAAGTGCATGGTGTAAACGTAACCATTGTGTTCCTGTTAAACCGAATTTACATCATTCATTCTTTTCTGTTTTTTTTTCTCTCCGATGGAAATAAAAAGAGAAAAAAAAGGAAAGGCCTGTTTTTTCTTACCTGAATTTTTGTGTAAGAAAAGGAAAGACTTGGAATTCTTTTACCTGAATTGCTGTGGAAGAAATTCAGGTAAAAGGAACAGGCCTTTTTCAGGTTTTACCATTATAAATAAATATTTGTTAAATTATTTTCTTTCCATTTGATAACACAAATCTTTTGATAACACAAGTCGTTCTATCTTTTGGTGCTTCTCTCAGCAAGAGATAATATAGTACAATGATTATTTTATCTTGATATTGACAAACAAAGATGTAACTATTCATTGTGGTACATATCTCTTGCTGAAAAGTACCATTTATTAGTCATTGAATACCGAGAAAGATGGAATGTGTCAACTGCGGTTGTCAGACTGTAATTTTCTGCCAGAGATTACAGTTTTTAATGAATCTTTGGTTTTCTGACTAATGAAAAACATTTGATGACACTTTTTCTTACGTTTTTTGAAAGAAAACATTACAATACAGTAACAAATTTTGAAAATAGCAGCAAGATAAATGAAATAAAATTTCTTGTTTTTAAATTGAAGAAAACTGATGTTGACTAGTTACCAAATGGAAAGCATTCTGGTGTTTTTCTATGTAGGTTATTTTCTCTGTATATTTCATAGTCGAATCAAACATACGTTAGAAAATATAAATAATATATTCAATTGAATTTTTCAATTGAAAATTTATGTGATATTCATCATATGTCTATCATTTAACTCTGTGATATGGTGTACAGCGAGGTTCAGGATAGAGTGATGTTGACGGGTCGCCACATGGTTCGAGACGTCAGCTGCAAAAACTGTGATGCTAAGCTTGGGTGGGTGTACGAATTTGCAACAGACGAACAACAACGATACAAGGAGGGTCGTGTTATCCTGGAAAGAGCTCTTGTCACAGAGAGCGATGGATTGACGGAGCATAATGTTCAACAATAA